GCGTGCGTGCGTGCGTGCGTGCGCATATGTATGTGCCAGTCAGTAGTCTCTTTAGCAATGGTTCTGTGGTTCTGTTCGTCTCGTGGCTTAAGTTTTGGTTGCGTAAAATGCTCGCCAGCCTAAGCGAATCGATTGCCAAGCATGCATGAGGTCCAGTGTTGCTTGCTGTCAGTCTTCGGACGTTGCAGCAGCTCCATGCAGGAGCTTTCCACACTTTCGACCCCGTCCCTGGGTCCCTACGTCAAACTGTCGCATCTGACAGGTGCGTCTCTGTCGACAAGACCGTGGAGCGGATAAGTAAAGGGGGGCCAGCCGGCATCCATGCTTGAAATCTTTGCTTCTCATCCCTGTGACACATCCCTGAAATTTGTTCGTCTGCCTCAATGGCTAGGCATTTGCAAGGCACCCCCAAAAACTCGATTCAAAGCTCAACACCGAGAGAGCGCAGCCTCGAGAACTTCACGCAGGAGCTCTGTCCCTGTATTGGGAAACAGCGCCGCAAGAGGCATTCCTGTCTTGGCAGATCAGAAAGCTGCATGAGACCGAGGACACTATCCCTTATCACAGAAAAGCTGCAGGCAGACGGGTTGCCAACCAAGTTGGCCGCCGGAATTGACGCGCACTCCACGACCCAAGCTGCCAGATCCAGCTGGAGACAGATTATTCCTCATCCAACAGAATTCGCCACGAATGGCCTACAACAAAATGAGAGAAATGATGACCAGGGTAAGACAAGCACGACTGAAACTTGCATGCACATGGCTACATAGTTTTCCAACCATCGAGGCAGCGGTGGAGGTAATCTGCCTTTCGGCTACCAATGTATTTGACGTGATCTCACATCTCTGCGTCACATTGGGATCATCACGCGAGTGATTGCTTCAATTTTTCTACGACAACGAAAAGCGTTACCATGACAACAAACTGCGTAACAGTCCAACAAGGGAAAACACCGACCCCTCCCCCCCCCGAAACTGATTTTTGGGTGAGATGCTTTAGACACTGTCCATGCTGATGGTAAGCTTACGAATTTTCAACTACAGAGACGATGTTTGGACTTTGGACTTTACTGCACAGCATATGCAGTGGGACGGCTGCCCCCTATCCTTTCCAGCGCTGCTTTGGTAAGTAAGAGCGAGAAAGCAAATTGCAACTCTTTGACGGTCTGGCCACCGCGGTGGCGTGCGTGGAGAGCTGCGAAAGCCGGTGCTTTGCCCACTGCGTGGCACTAGTAAGGTGAGTTCCATGATCACTATGCCAGAAGCGTAAACGTGGTGTTTGAGCCTGGGTGTGTCGTTTCCACACCCATCTTGGGTAGGAGAGTGCAGTCGAGTGTTTCTGCAACTGATGGGTTAGTGGCCTCCACTCCCATCCTGCACATGTACAACTTTGTCACTGGGTTCAGGCGAGTGGTCACTGCTCCTGACTTGCCCGTTCTCTTTGCCTACCTCGACCTACCACTTTACATTCTTTACATCATTGTCGAGCCCACCCGGTCCCGAGTCCAGGCAGCGCTACATGTAAAGGGAGTCGTTTCAAAAAACTAACAATGCCTCTGAGCGTCTCTGCGGCGTCTTGTCCGGAGGTTGCTCGCTGGCTTTGCTGGACTTGCCTCGTGCTTTACCAACTTTGCCCTCTTGCAGATTCGCGACGCGGCGTGACACCGAGAACCCCGAAACGGCTGGGCAAGACTCCCAACATGGGCCAAGTCCGTCCTGGATCCACCGGACCAAGACAAACCCATGCGCATGATGGCCTGCATGGTCCACCTCTCTCACGTCTTGTGGATTTGTTGGCGGCCTGCCCACGAGTGCTTCTTGCTTGGCCTTCTACATGTTTCGCTTGCAACTACTACAAGATTTGATGAAGTATCGCACATGTCCACAGCAACTGGTCAAGCACTGGCTCTCAGGCCGAGCCTTGCCAGTGACTCTTGGTCGGTGACATCCCGCAAACCGATAAGGTGGCACGTCTTGCCTTTGTCACTACGAAAACTTCAAAGCCTTCACGGCTGTGCTCGACGAAGAATCCTAACGTGTCGGCAGCTGGAGAATGTGATATTCGGATTGCCGACGCTCGGGCCATCTGGAACCCGAGGCACGACTCTTCGCTCATGCCAGGCGACCATCTGGCTTTTGGTACTTCACGTGAAAGGATTCACAGCTGAACTTGCTAGCGCAGCTGTCCACCTGAGATCTGCAAAAAAGCCCCTGCTGGCCCGAATCTTGTCCTAAATAGACGTGTCGGCACAGACACCTGCACCTTGCTACACCGGACCGAAGGATCGAACGCCGCCATGGCACGAGGCGCGTCCGAAAGGCTTGCGCCACAATACTTGACGACCTTGGGTTCGGCTTGAGAACAACGACAAACTGTGTCTTGCAGGCACGGCCAAGTGCGCAACCCTCGGCTTCTGCCCTTATAGAATAGCAAAGGGGCACGCCCGAGGTGCGAGGTTGGCGCAGTAGCTGGAGTGCTGCTCGCCGCTCCTCCTTGTGGGGCAGCGGGCAGAGGAGGGCAGCGAGCCAAAAGCGCGGCAAAGAGCAAAAGCCAAACCCAGCCGAGGCGCAGGGCCTGCCAGCAAGTCTTCAAATTTCGTGCCTACCAGCGACAGTCCGGGACGGAGCCTCGGGTGTCTGCGAACTCGGAAGACACACTTACCAGGTCTTCTCTCCATGGGGCAGGATCGCTGCTAAGTCGTCGGAGTGTTCCACCAGGCGAAGGGTCGCATCGAGCTCTATCACTGCGTCGCAAGTCAGCTGCCTTAGCTCGTCACAAGCATCCAACTCATTCAGAGCTGAGACGAGCGATCCTGCCGGTACTTACGCCAAATTACACAAACGGAAAGACGAACCTTCTAAAATCGAGCAGCAGGAGAGCTGTGGCGGCTTGGAGGTCTGTGGCTGCCTCGCTGAAGCTCATCTCCCTTTCCACAGCCTCCAGGACATGCAAGGCAACGAGGCGAGACTCAGAGTCTTCGTGGCATTTCGTGGCCTGGCTACCAAGACCTCTGCTTGAAGAACCCCTTTCCTCCTGCGGGTTCTTCTTGCCCTGTGCTTGCGCGTCTGGTATTGAAGGGTTTCGTGGCTTAGTACGTTGCGTGAGCCGGCCTTCATGAGGGCGACTTGCAGGACAAAGGCCACTGCAAAGGTGAAAAGACCTCAGCCACCGCTGTGGGAAATCACTCAAGCCTGGCGGCACCACCGCCACCATCAATGTCATTCGCACCAACACTCAGAATGGCAGCAGAATCAAAGCCACTCTCTCAAGGACGGTGGGGGAGGGACGACAGGAACCAAAAGGAAAACAAGCCGCCTGTCTGCTTTGCAAGGGGCTGATCATGAGCTCTAGGGCCGCAGAGGGAAGCGGCGACACAGCCAGAGTCACCTTCAACGTCTTGCCAACAGAAGCTTGGGGCTGTGGAGTTGGGATTGCTGACCAGGTCAGTAGAAAGAAACTCAAAAATGCTAAAGAATAGGATCAAGGATCAACCGAAAGCGCAATGTTGCCTGCTCTGCACCACAGGCTTGGGGTACTGTATGGGACGGTTCATTATGCCAACCAAAGGTTCGACCTTCAAGCATGGCGGTGTACTTAGGCTTTCTCCAGGTACTGAAGCACTTGACGGTCACTGACCCGTCCCCCCGACATTGCTGGTGGGCAGTCTGGCTGAGAAGCAAGCTGGTTGCAGTGCCGAGGTGCAAACAACAATTAGCCAGAGACGGCCCGTCATACAGACTCCGGGAACCTCAAGGTGATCTTCAGAATTTGACAGGCGCAAGCAAGCGCTTTAACAACGAACAAAACTCCCCTGTGGCTTTCTTCTCACCTAGGCGTGAAAGCCCAATCTTGGTCCCACACCCGGAAGAAGAAAGCAAAGATCAGAGGCACAATGGCCGCTTCATGCACGTCTGCGGCAGCTGCAGACTCGCGTGACCGGAGTTCATCCATGGCTGCATAGATGACCACGAGGCCCATCCCCATCCCTCCCAGATAGCAGGCACTTGCAGTGCTTGTGGAGAGGACGCCTGGCCTCATAAAGTGTAAAGTTGAGGCTGCAAAAAAAGTTAAGATGGCCCAGCGCAAAGCATCGGTCATCATTGTCTGACCCTGCCATGGGACCCATATGGTCCAAGCAATGAAGGGTCCACTAACCAGCAGAAGCAAGTGAGTGTATATCTGCGCCACACGCAGCCGCAGCTCAGTTGCTTTCGTTTCCATGAAAAACTTCTCCTCCAAGTGAAATCGAGCGCAATGCAGTTCGGCGAAGGTCCTCTGAATTACTCTGCAAACTTGCCGCCAGTTTGTCAGCGCCAGATAGAAACCGCGGCCGAGGCATCCGGCATGCAAGATGCAAACGAGCACCGTGTAGACAGTGGCCGCAGCATCGCTTAGCGGCATCCTTCAGACCATACCTTGAGCCTGAAGCGGCAGATCGGGGACCTCACAGAGCCTCAAAAACGCTTGCGAGAATCACGAGTCTGAGTGCGCACGGCGGCATGGAATATCTCTGCAAATCGGGCCGCGCCACTCGCGAAACCCCAAGAGCCCCCCTCATCAGACGCGATCTTGCTTGGACCCGAAAGGACGGGGCGAGCCTTTCTCTTCTTGGATTTCTTCTCCTTCTCCCCGCCCTCCTAGGAGCCGGAGCTGAATGCAACTCATGCATCCAGCTTTGCACACGATATGCGCCGCCCTGATTTGTTGGATGTTTTCTTTGTGTGTGCTCTTCAACTTGATTTCTCACAGCACGATTTGCAAACACCTCTCCGTTTTACTCTCCTCAAGTGTCTTTTTTCGGACCTTGCTTCAGCAAGTTTAATGTCGACCTGCTTCATCCTCATGCTGGATCCAAAGTGGTGTCCACTTCTCGAGCATCGACGGGGCTCAGAATCTTGGGCTTACGTCTGCTTGCTATGGGTTGCCGCAGCTGTATTCTGCATAAGAACCGACCCGGCGCGGACAAACCCGAAAAAATGAAAGAAGTTCTTTGATTCATCACTCTCGGCGATTGCAATAAGTGATGTAAAAAAAACTGTGCTGTCTCGAAACATCAGCTGCTGTACGAAAGTAGCACTGGTCCAGCTATGTATCATGATTATTCTCACCACCACGTCTGTCAGCCGCGAGTGTACATGTCGCTCTTCTTGCTGGGTAAAGCAGAATGCCTTCTCCTTTCTTGCATTGGAGCTTCAATTCAAGGTTGCTGTGGTCAGATTCGCTCATGGATCTTGAACATTGAACTCGGGTTTCCCGACCGTACATGGCATGAAGGTCACACGATGGGGTTGCTGTTTGTGATGCTGGATGCCTTTGTGGTCTTGAGGTTGCTCCATGTTTACATGGCATTCGCTGACTGTCTCTGCCGATCAGGAACCCAACTATCGAAACTCACATCTGCTCAACTCTGAAAGCAAACACCGCACCACGCAGCCGGAGCTAGCTATCTGCCATTGGCAACTGAACCCTAGGTCGGAGAGTCCTTTTCTCGAACCTGGGCGCAGAAGGGAGAACTTGATTGCACCCGTTGAAGATCGTGAGCTACGGACTCACATGTAGCTTTCCGCTTTCTTATTTCTGCCCTGAGCTTCTAGGCACTCAGCTAACCTGCCAAAAGAGCACGCCCTGCTCTCCCGCCCGAAGTCGAACCTATGACCCGGAGTAGACTCCACCGAGTCTGAGTTGGCAACAGGCGGATGCCGTAGAGGCTCCTCCCCAGGCCCGTGCAAAATATGAGCTGCACGCGTTTACAAGATTTTACAAGCCTGAAATTTCAAAGGCAAGCAGACACAGCGATATGTGCGCAGTACAAAACCAACATGCATGTTCCAAGGGAAGTGAAAAGCTTGGAGCGGACGCAGCGGTTCGGGTGGGCTTCGTAGCCGCGTCGTGTGAATTCCACCAAAGTTTAGAGCCAGGAGCCGACGTGCAAAGCCTTTAACTGCGGGCCTACAAAAACATCAAAGCAAACCCTGGAACCTCATCGTCGTCGACAACCTCCACGGGTGCCACGATCCCACCGGGAATCTGCAGTGCAAGTGCACTTTGCCGAAGAATCAAATCTGCAGGCAACACATGACACCATCGGTAAAGCACCGCTCGGGCCTGGCTTTAAAGTTACCTATTGCACATCCCAGGTATCGGCCAGGACACGCATTCATGCTAGAAAGCCCATACTGTACATTGGCATACCCATCTCATGACATCGCAGAGAGGCACCTACATGGACTGGAGTGGCAGTTGTCGCCAAATGGTGATACAAAGCTTAAACAGGCCAATTGAAGCAGGCCTCCACTCCCGCCAAGTCCGACTGAACCTCGCCGAGTGGCTGTTGGCAAAACCCGTACAACGACTAAGCCCGTATGTCGGAATCCGGAACTTGATGCGGGGTCTGGTCACGCCAGCGCCTCTCACCTCTCTGAAGTTCTAGTCTCGACGACCTAGTAACCGAACTGACAGAAGACGCGGCTATACGACAGGATGCCTGCTGAACATGTGAACGTGCCTCCGAAGCAACGAGCATTAAGCCTGAAGCAGCTGCTGAGTTAAGCATGGATCCTGACCGTCCTGACGCTGCCAGGGCGGGGCTCGCCTCTGCTGCCAAGCGCTCCGCTTGCTGCCGCTGGAGCTTGGCCTTTCCGATGCTTCGTGTCAGGCTTCCCCCGCGGCACATCAGGCAGGGTCTGAAAACCTGCTGTTTGGGCCGGCTCTCAAAAAGAAGCACTGTGATGTATATCGGCTGCAGGCACAGAGTCTGCAATTCGACTTCTGGTGCTCTGAACCCTGCCTGTTTACGGTGCACGCGCGCTTCGTGGCGTTGTCTTCTGAGCATTTCGAGCTCGTTCTTGGCCTTTCGACAATGCTCGATCTGCTTCGACCACAAAAAGGAAGCCTTTCCAGAAGGAGGGACGACGGAGAGACTTCACTCGAAGACTTCCGTGCGCTCTCTCTCGCCTGCAGCAGATCGCCAGCAACTTTCGCCATGCTCGCCTGCAGCTTCTCACTGTCCTCGATAACTGGGTTGTAGTTCTGCGGCCCTGAAATGTATTGATGAATAGGTAAGGGAAATTTAAACGTTTCCCAAAGTGCCACCTAGATAATGTCATGGGCTGCGATTGCTCGCACTGCTAAGAGATCCGTCCTGGCCGAGCTCTTTGCAGAACTCGACGGCCTCCTTTCAAGGACTCTGGCGTTTGCGATGGTCTTCATGCGATGCACAGCACGGGAATGAAGACAAATGAACACGAGGGCAGTTCAAGGAGCTTTCTTCAAAAGCGGCTCCTCGCACTTCTGCTGGAGCTCCGCATTTTTCCTGCAACGGAGACATCTGAGCAAGAATCGTGGCCCGCGAAGCACATCTCACGGTCATGGATTCCACCGCGCATCACTTGAGGTATACGGCATGCAGACATCCCGAGTCAATGCTGCCCTGTAATTCATGGCCTCTGCTCGTTCTGCAAGGCCACGCGAAGGTCCGCCAAGCGCTCCTGAGAGCAGGCACAACGCCTGACTCCAGAAGTTGCGAGGCACTACTGAAACCCCCCAAGCTGTCAGGAAGCTGTCAACTTACCTGTTGTCTGTCGCAGCACTTGTCTGACAGTTCACAGGCTGCAGTTCTTCAGAACAAATCTCGAGCTCCAGCAGCCTGAGCACCCGAGTTGCCTCTCGCATCAACTCGCCGAGCTCCCGATTTTCGCTTAGGAGCGCCTGCCAGATGTTGGTGCTTCTGCTAACGAGTAGTGGTGCTTTACTTAACCCAAGAAGGTAAAAACCACTCTGAGTGGAGGAGAGTGCCGAAACAAGAAGAGGCAACCGCAAAACCAATCAGGCAGATGCATGGGCTGCGAACTCGGTTTCTGGCCTTGCACTTCTGCATCAAGGCCTGCAGAACCAAGCCGAAGCCACAGTTCCGATGCACCCTAGAACCACTGCAGCTTCTGGCCCTAGGATTCCCATCCACTCACAGACCTTCCCGTCCGCGTTGCTCTGATCAAAGCGGTTGGCCTCCAATGTCGGCACTTGCGGGACCAACAACTTGCACTAGGCTTCTGCTGCAACGACCAGAGATCCTGAGCAAAGACCCGACCAATGTTGGCAATTTGCATTTTTAAAACGAGCTGTTTCGCCTCCACATCATCTTTCAGCTGGTTGAGTCGATGCTCCTTCGCCCGCGCCTGCATCGCTTACAGTCACGGATCGCCCAAAATTTTTGGCCCAAAACGCATTCAATACTACCTGGGGCTAGGATTCACAATGTGCGTCGACCCGCCTGCTGCCGAAGCATGAGCACCTGATCGCGGCACAGATGGTATAGCATTGGCGGGTTGCGTTTCTTTGATGCCTGGTTACGCATTTGCAGAGTCCTAACAGCCACAGAACCCCATCACATCCAGTTCGCCGGGCACACTTGAACTGTCTCAAGAGACGATGGGGAAGCGCAGGCTGTTGGGCCTCCATGTTCGCAGTGGAATCTGCCAGCGCACCTCGAATCGAAGTCGCCGCAGTCTACACAAAACCAGCCCCGGAAGGAAGACCTCGGGCAACATCCGGGTCCGCCTCGCTTTGTGGCCAGCGACTGGTCGCCGAAAGCGCCGAGAATCTCGCTGGCGAGACCCCTGGCATCACAACAGTTTCGAAGCGACGGGTTCCTCAGACCTAAGCTCAAAGGCCTGCCCTCTAATTATAATACCGCTCTGCGCGACTTGTGACTTTACGAAAACTGTCATGGTGTTCTTGCAAGTCTGCACCAGCAATAAGCAGGCACTGAGCGCAAGGCCTTAGTTGGCTCATCTCGGCCTCCTGGCGACAAGACTGCGACGGCTATGGTGGCTGTGGAAATCGGCATTGCCGAGCTCAAGGTCGGGATCAGCGCAAAACACACAACTCGGCTCGCAAGCAAAGAGTGGCGAGATATCCAGACTCCAGAAACTAAGCACCCCCAACCCCCGCAGAAAGGATTCCGCACATCGGCCTGTCCTGATTGACCAGAGCCGAGAGGTAGATGGTCTCGCGAGTCTTGTACTCCTGGCCGACTGTGATAAATCACAATTTGCGATTGCGTTTTTAGCTGTTGTTGTCGTTGTTGTTGTTGTTGATACTGCTGCTGCTGCTGCTGCTGTTGTTGTGGTTGTGGTTGTGGTGGGTGTGCTTGTTGTGCTTGCTGTGGTTATTGTGCTTGTTGTGGTTGTTGTGGTTGTTGTTTGGGAATTGCGATTGTTGTGGCTGTTGTGGCTGTTTGTTGTTGTGGTTGTTGTGACTGTTGTGGTTGTTGTGATTGTTGCTGCCGCTGGTGTTGGTGCTGCTATTGTTGTTGTTGCTGCTGCTGGTGTTGCTGCTGTTCTTGTTGTTGTTGCTGCTGCTGCTGTTGTTGGTGGTGGTGGTGGTTGCCAGGTAGCTGTTTACTGTGGTTCCCTGGCTTCGTGCCCGTGTTCAAAATCTTACACTGCTTCGTGTTTCAGATTTAAAGCAGGTAAAGAATCGCAAGCGCAGGGCCCATGTTTCTCGCAAAAGCGAACGATGGCTCAACGGCCGTCTGGAAAGGTGAGCCAATGGCCATGGAGAAAACGGAGATCACGAGGCCGGTGCAAAAAGATTCACACTCGTAGCTTTTTACTTTGGTTCACCAAGGTCCCGTATACCTGCACAAAGGGATCTCGGAGCCAAGCTGACAACTGCAACAAGAGTTTGCTGTCCAGTTTGGTGAGTCCGTCCGCGTGCATTAAGCACGTGGGCACCTAATGGATCTCTTTCGGGCTCACTGTCTGCTGCACAGAACGTATGTTCACTAGAGAGCGCTTGTCAGCTACGTTGAGATTCTCCGCCACGATGCAGTCGTACAGGCTCTTGGCATCCAAGACGTGTCTTCCGTCGATCTTGCAACCGACCTTGTACGCGACCTCGCCGTAGAGCAGCTCGGACAAACACATGTTGGCGAAAGCCGCGCGGTCTGCTCCTTCATCCGCTGCGGAAGCTTCAGCAGCCAGGGTGCTCTTGCACTCGTGTGCTTCTGCCAGACTTCCAGTCCAAAACAGTGGCCTTGGTTCGTACCACCGTGGCTTGTGGTGGGGCCAGCAGCACAAACACTCCAAACGAAGCCCGGCGTTGGCCCATGAAGAGTCAGTGTAGGTCACCAGCAAGGAGGCCGCGTTCACGGGAACGTCCTTGGTTCGGCTCGGGCCAGTTCTCGAGTAACCTCTTCTTCGGCGGCTCCTCGCGATGGTCTTCCCGCTGCAAGTTGTCTGTCAGGTTCATCTCAGCGTCCTTCAGGCCTTGAGGTTCTTGATATCATCTGCTGAGGGGCACCATTCCTCCCAGCCGCACGCTGTCCGGATCGGGTTGTTGGCAACCTTCACGGTCGTAGTGTTCACCTGCACCCAAGCGGACTTGCCGTCCGTGTCGACGGAGACGAGCGTGCCAAAGCCCACGCCCCGTTCTTACGTTGGCGTGACCTGCCGCTCCACCAGAATGCAATGGGCTGCCCCGGCTGGAGGCTGCGCAAATGCACCTGGTGTCGCGTCTTGCGAAGGAGGGCTCGCTTGCTGCGGCTGCTTGCGCTGTGCTCTGCCAAGGCTTTCATATAGCATCGGCTCTCAGCATCTCCGGTCGTAGCGCTTGCTGTTCCGGGATATCACCAGCCTCAAAGGGTCATCCACGATCGACCTGAGCAGGGCGTTCCTCCGCTCGATCTTTGCCCAGCCGGTGGTGCACCTCGGCGGGGATCACATCATGAATGATGCCGCGCCGCATGTAGAACTGAATCACCTCGCCTCCAGGGTCGCACCTGAACTTCAGCGGAAGGCCCAAAGGAAGCTACCACATTTCCGAAATGTGCTTGAGCTCTAGAATCGTCTCAGGTCTTTTGTTGGCGACGGCGGGTGGCGGTGTGGTACGAAGTCGCCTCGCATGAAGGCTTGGATCACCTCACCAAAGTAGCTGCTAAATCAGTTGCTTGGCAGGCGCTGGAGGGGGCTGCTTTGGCAACTGGGTTTTTAGACAGCTCCTGCAGAGTAGTTCATCGACGGCGCTGAGCACTTTGCCACTCAGAGTGCCCGCGGCGGCCAACAGAGCGTGAGCCACCGGCGGAGTGAGGCCTGAAGTTTGCTCTCCACCTTGCCCTCGTACCAAGTCTCGGTGTCCATCTCAGGCACTGGCTGGCGGCTGCCAAAACGGCCTGGTATGCCTCGCACGGGGAGATCTTCCCCTCCTCTTTTTCCTTGGGTCCGACCGCCTCGCCTGGTTCTGGTTCGGTCTCGGTCTGCCTCGGGTTGCTGTAGAAGAACACTGCGACGCGCCTTCAAGGGGGAAGTCACCATCAGCCAGCCGCATGGCCGCCCCGTGTTGAGCGTAGGGAAACTCCTGCGGCAGGCGACGTTTTGGTGTCCATGCCGCTTTCCCACAGAACCAGTTCACAGATGGCCTGATAAATGGGGTCGAAGGGCTTGTTGTGGGTGTTGCCGAACCGGGCCTCACCGTCTTCCATGCTTCCCGTCAGGGCTCGGGCTTGTGAAGAACAATTCGGCGGCAAACCGGCTCGGGTAACTCCTTCATTACGCCGTCCAAGATCATGTGCAGGATGCCGTCCTCGTCGTAGGCCCTTGGTGTCTCTCCGGCGGGGGCTAGTACTCCTGCTCGACGGTGAGTCGTTGGCTCAAGGCATTGGCGAGGACGTTTGATTTCGTCACCCAGCTTCTCTGGCCGGCCGCAGGCTTGCCGTCTTGGGTCTCCACCCCGAAGCCTGCAATATCGCCTTTGCAAACCACTGTGTCCTGCAGGGAGATCAGGCTGCCATGCTCGGAGTCGTCGTGGTTACCGGGGTCGAGGGCGCCAACAGCCGCCCGCGTTGACTCTGTTCCGCACACGTCAGCGCCACATGGAGGCGAGCCGGACGCCGCCGATGTGGTTGATCGGATGTTTATGCTGCAGACCGCGCGCCTGGGGCTGAAGCCGAGATCCTGGATAGCACACTGCGACCAGGAGATGACGACGGCGATCTTGGAACAGATCGTGGCACCGTTACGGCACCCTCCCCCTCCCGGGAGTATGGCTCGGAGCAGAAACAAGCGAGGAAGCTTCTCCAGATGCACCCTCAGTGCGGGACTCGGTGGCGATGGGCTCTCGGCGCCTGGGAACTGCTGCCGTCCTTGCAAACTTTATCCCCTTCCCGGCACTGTTCCACTCGCTGGCTGTGGAATCTTTGTCTCGTCGCCTCAAGTCGCTCAAGTCATGAAGAGACTTGTCACACCACCCTTCTTCTCCCGAATCGGGTCCTGCAAGGCCTTCAGGTGGTCCGGGAGCAGCGGGTCGTCGAGGAGGTCCAGCGCGAGGTTCTTGAGGACGAGGTTCCGGTAGTCGAACTCCGTATTGTCGGGGCATGGCTGTCGCTGCTGCGGCTGCTCGCCTCTGTCTCCTGGACAGTCTCGGTAGCGGCAGGGCAGCCGTCGTAGGTCGGCGCTTGAGACTCGGGGTGACGATCCGTCCACCCAGGGCTCGGAGGAAAGCTCATCGGTGCCCGGCGCGATGGCGAAGACCGGGACGTCGGCGCCTACGGCGTCCGCTGGGTGTTGGTAGTCGAGGTCGCGGTCAAAGACTCCGAAGTTGCGGCACAAACAACCAGACTCTTTGGTCCAACTCGCGCCTCGTAGGGGCACGGCTGTCGTAGAACTGGTCATGGCCACGAACCATACACATCCATGAAGCGGCCGTTGTTGCATTGCAAACACCGCCAAGCTGGCGGCACAAAATCGGGCTCGGTCCAAAGTCCTGGTCGTCAGCACTGGTCCTGCCGGGATACTCGAAGTCACTCGGCCATGCGTCAAGACTTTCCACTGTCAGCCCAGGAAGACGCCGAGGGACCTGCGATCTCGGAGCACTGGTTCCACGGGGTTCCCCACATCTATGAAATCAATCATCCAGATGGTCTCCAGCCCGGCACCTTCAGCGACATCCATAAGCAGCAACAGGCTCCACTGCCAACTTGCACTGCTTCGTTCTTCAGACTTAAAGCAGGCAAAGAATCGCGAGCGCAGGGCCCATGTTTCTCGCAAAAGCGAACGATGGCTCAACGGCCGTCTTGAAAGGTGGGCTAATGGCCGCGGAGAAAAGAGAGATCACAAGGCCTGTGCAAAAAGATTCACACAAAGCACACGAATTGTTAAATTCGTGTTACAGTGTTCACACTATACTTTGGTGGCATGCCTTCGGAGCGTAAGGCCAGGACGATGGAAAACATTATCTGGCTTGAGGGAAGGGAGAGAAGGGGGAGGATGAGAACGTCTACTGCAGCACTACACTATGCAGCTATCAAGATGTCTTGCTTGGTGTGGGTTGTTGCTGCTTGGTTTACGTTGGTTGTCGATTGCTGTCTCTCGCTTGCCGCGTGCTGGCAGGAAGGAGTTGTTGCTTGTCGTTTGTGGCTTGCCGGTTGTCTGGTTGTGTGCACAGGCGTTTGTGTGTGTGTGCGCATATTCGTATTCATGTATGTATGCATGTTTATATGTATGTACGTAAGTATGTATGCA